TTCGATGTCAATRTCATCAGTCAACGTCTCGGTAAATGGAACGGACATTCGTCGCTTGCGCTCGTTTTCCTCTGCGGCGTTTACAAGTGCGACTGTTTGTTTCAAGTCTGTAACATCTTCAGCTGCTTGGATGGTGTGAACTTCAGGCCAATGGTGTTCTGTTTCTTGTAAACGAGCAACATTCTGGAAGATAATTGGTGGATAGGTATTAAAATGTCAACAAATGGTAAATGAATACTTTTTGATTTGATCGGATGGACGAAAGAACGAAAACAGACTAGACTGCATTTTCTGCAATCCTTAAAGATTTCCAGATACCCTGTGTTTCCCGACATGCCTTTGAAGATGCTTCTTCATACCCTCAAGTTCCTTCATCATTTCATCGGGATCAAAGTCACTGTCCTCTTCGTCAAGCATGTTTATCTAGTACGATGTAGGAGCTGAAGAATTTGGTTATTTATGACGTCAACACAGGCGTCATCATTATCTTATGACGTCACATATTAACTTTCAGAAGTACGCGTGCTTTTCAATTTGTTGGTGGGAACTAGCGGTAAACTGGCATGAGTGCTTGCAAGCGTCGGTGCTTCTACAAAAACAGTTTTGAAAAAAAGATAAATTTTATTTAACACCTTAAGAAAATAGGTGAAACAACTACTTTATAAAACGTTTTGTACAACGCTTTTCAATTTGTGAGTTCTGTAACTATAACTTTCCTTAATTAGGATTTTATGGGCCTGCTCTGATTCATGCTATTGTAGCATGTGCTAGGCTCCTTGAGCACTGCCAGTTGAACCTGTGTCGTCACGCAACGCTACTGGGGGGGGGGGAGGTCAGCGTTGCGTGACGACACAGGGGCGGCTGCTAGAATGATGCCAACTTTTAAAACTGTTTGTCAATTTTCGTTAACGGCGTACCCCATCAAAATCAAATGCACAGCATCCACACTATCCCGATTATCAGGCTGTGTCGAAGGACTGTTACTGAGCTTACGTAACGTACGTACATCCTGTTCTGAGGACCGGGCTTCCTGTGGTAAAAAAACAATGCTGAGTTGGTATTGTCATGAATTTGAAGTGGTGTTCAGCGAACTGGAATAGTCTCGTTTAAGATGATTTCTTTTAAGATTATTTTGGTTGTTTTTTGCATCCTTTTGCCCTATAAAACAACCTGTAATCGTTCAGAAGAAGGAAGTTTCCCCAAAGGCCATCTACTTCCACTTGGAAGTCACCAAGATCCAGACAACACGCTCATCGATGAACTCGACGAAATCCCTTCAGCAAAAGAGTTTTGGGAGAAGTACGTTAAGACTTCCAAAGCTGTCGTTCTTCGAGGAGCCGCTAAACACTCTCCAGCGTTTTCCAAGTGGACAGACGATTACATGAAGGAAAACTTTGGCGATTTGGAAGTGAGGTTGGAAAGAAAGAAGGAGAAAAGTGGCCGAATTCCCGTAGGTGTCAAGGGAATTGGCCGRGATACTATAGGTACGAAAAACTGTTTTATTAACAGCTTAATTGCCTTAAAAGAAAACATTTTTTTTAATTTATGGAAAATTTATTGTCATATCCGATGAATGAAGTTTTTCCTGTTTCGTTTTAATATCAACGTGTCAGAAGAGTGAAGAGTTTTAAACTTACATGCAGATTATCATTAAGCTTTCTGATTSGTCAATGCCCACATTTTTTAAGAGTGTTTATTYATTGGGTCGTGGTGTRTTTTAATTGGATAAAATTGCAACTGGTTTGCAATTGATTTTGGGGTTAAATGAGAGATAGAAGAGAGGGCTTATATTAGACTTATTTGTCAACAAACATATCTCATTCTTTACATTCCTTGATCTTGTACTGCAGGAAATTTCATTGAAAATTATCATAAAAGTAATTCATACATTGTATCTGAACTACCAACWCCTATGTGGAAAGATATCCACGTCCAACCTTGTATTGCATGTGGTACCATGGGAAACCGACTTGTTGAAGTTGACTTGTGGWTGAGTGGAGGGGGCTCAAGTAGCATATTACACAAGGATGCCTTCAATGCTATTAACTGCCTGTACAATGGCACTAAAGARTGGAAAATGATTGAATATAAATATGAAAAGATGATTTATAAGGCATATGAGCCTGACAGAGAAATTGGAGGATTCTCAAGAATTAATCCACAAAAAGTTGACTTGCTCAAGTACCCGAAAATTGCTGAAGTTCCCTGGTCATTTGTAACAATYAATGCTGGCGATTGCTTGTTTCTTCCAAAAAGTAAGTATTGTCGATACTGTCTTTGCCGTCAGCACAGCTTCGTTTAATACTATCATCACCGTCAGTACTTTTCAATGCTGCCACTGTTCAGTCTGCAGCATGGTATTTTCAAGGTCCTTGCTTTCCATTTCTGGGTCCCTAAGTCCATTGGGAACTTGATATCTCCATACTGGAAAGGGTTTCAAATATGCTGCCCAATTACAATGTCCAACCAACAAACTTTAATGTTATTTACCTGTATACTAACATTACTATAATCCACTAGGTTATTACCATCAAGTGACATCCTATGGTACCATGAACGTTGCTGTTGCCATCCTATTTTCGCGATTTGATCGCGTCAGTAGTATTGCCTTTGATGGTTGCCATGACAATGTCACTTATACTCCTCTTAGTGAGTTGGACATGGACTGGAAGTATCYGGGACATGGAAACCTTAGTATGGGAAACCCAGACTTGGAGGATGTAAGGTAAGTTTGATGACAGTAGTGGACTTGTCTTCTGATGTCTCTTCCTCATAGCATCTACTGTTGTCATTTTTATTAGGTCAATGATGAAAGAAACCTTTTCTGGTGAAAATCCTTCTGGAAAAATTGTGGAACTTTTTAGAGAGGTATTGTAAAGATTACTTGTATTTCATAAAAGAGCTAATCAATACACTTTACAGTTCATAAAGTTTTATTTCATATCATTCTTACTTCTCTTCCTTCCATTCATACTTTCTTCTATTTCTTTTTATTTGCAGATGTTTCCAGAGAAACCAAATGAGTGGTTTCTAGCAAAGGCACAMAGTGTTTGTATTTCAATAGTATTTGTTAACACAAGGGCTTTTCCTATAAAAACTGCCAAATTGTTCAAATTTGAGTAAACCTATCTGGTGTTATTTATCATTGATCACCATGTTTTTAATATTTTTCTTAAATTCTATTTARTATGTATTTTCAAATATTTTAGAATATTCCTCAACTAGGGATGATTCCCAAGCAAAACGTCTCTCATTCAAGTAATCTGATATTGAATTATAAAAAGGAAACAACTAAAAATGGGGCATTTTTTATAGAAGTGTAGCCCGTTAATTTTGTTTTTTTGACTTTTTTGAATACCTCTAAATGTTGATTGCTGGCATACATACAACTATGCTAATTTTGTATGACTTTCTGGTAAATATCTCTCTTTTCCTATTTCCTAGATTATAAATGCTGTAAATACAGATGGAAAAAAAGAAATCAAGTCAGATCATATCCAGAAACTTGGTAGAGATGAGCTRCGRAAAATAGCAATGGCTATTGAACCAACTGATCTCTCAAACACAGAAATGCATGAATACACCTATGTCTCCCCAGAGAATATACGGTAACAATTGGTTACTGATTCAACTCGTAATTCCCTAAATTCCTTCTTTTCCTTCAACCTTTCTACTGTATTTCATTATGAAACTACAATACATACATGTAGTGTGCTACATTTGACCTGTGCTCTGTATCCTCAATTACAGMATTTAATCGGTATCAATAACAGTAATTTCACTGGGGGAGAGAGGGGGGTTAGTTTTGTCTGTGATAGGGTAGATTTTTGTCTAGGATAGGGTTTGGTCTCATTGTCTGGGGTAGGGTGGAGTTTTCTGTGATCGTATCTGCTAGGCCACGGTTTCAATGCTAAAATAATGTATCTTTGTACCTTTAGTCTGGGGTAGATGTAAAATCAAAAAAATTGGTCTGGGATTGGGTAAGGGTTTTGAGAGTTGTGCTGCACTTCCCCACCCAAGTTGGGAGTTAGTACCCCCCTCCCCCTCTGGGTTATTTCATAGATCCTCTCTGTACCATATATACAGCATGTTCCTCTTGAGCTCTCTTTACTATTCTACACAGTGACGTGCAACACACTTGTAAATTATCAAGCCTTACAGGGCTGTMATATCATGTCTTATACCAAACACCATGCAATAAACAGTGCACTAGAAATGTTCTTTAATCTAGCCAGCTCATGATACACTATCCAATAATTGTCTTATTTTAGCTGGATTATCAAGCAACTTGTTGATGCTGAGGGTAAAATGGACAAGAAGAAGTTCATTGATAACTACCGAAAGGAAGCACTTGGGACAGAAAAGTTTGCAAAAGAGGTGAGACTACTAAGTGGAGCTAGTGAAATTTTTAATTCTATAGTTTTAACACATGGATAATGCTTTTGTATATTTTTAGATTATTTCAAAACTAACAAAAGATGCCCAGAGAAGTTGGGTCACATTAGAAGAAATCAACACCAGCCTAGATATGGCAGTTTCACCTTATGAAGACAATCAGAGGGAGGAATATATGCCTCCAGGACAAACACAACCAGAAACAGATGATGCATACTCACTTGAAGACAGTACTGAAGAAGATCCGAGCAGTCATGAAAAACATGACCATATAGAACTTTAAACATCTCTTAGAATATAGTGAAAATGTTGCATATGCTCCTCTATAAAGAAAGTTAAGGGCAGAATTGTCTTAAAAGATAGTTTATATTACCTGGTTACACCTGTTGCGCCTTTTAAGCCCACAATTAATTCCTACAGCACAATTACAACATTTTATATATTTATTACTAATAACAGATACTGTTTGTAAGATATAATGTCTCAATGTGAAAAGAATTGTTAATGATATGTAAAAATATGTTGATGTATTTATTTTGACATACACCTACTTGCAAAAACGTTGTCATAAAAAATAGTACATTTGTATTTTARTAAAAAGGAATAAATTAAAAAGACAAAAGAAGATCACTGAGGCTGAACGCTTTCTTTTGTTTTGTTTTAATTCGTTTCTGCAAGTAGGTGTATTTACATGYACTTTGAAAATTGTACCTTATACCACAGGAAGCCCAGGATAAATGATTTTCTCGGACCCTCAATGAAAGAGATCGGGTAGAAATTTTCTCTTGTTTTGTTCTTTGCTTCTTTGCATTAAGAGTTTGATCAAGCACACGTCTGAACACGATTTGAAACGGCAAATCAGACGTTCTCTAGCTCCCCGACGATTTTTTTGGAGGGGTGAGAAACGGATGTATACACAGGCTAGCACACGGCTGGGTTTCAACTGGAACAACATTTACAACAAGATCCATTCTTTATTTATAAAACAATTACAATTATAAGTGTTCTGCCAAAAACACTAGACCAATTGTAAAAAYCCGGGTGTTGTCGGGGCCTCGTGGAGAGAGTGGTACGTGCTCCAAAACCCCTTTAATATTTGACAAATCAAAAAGTAACACATTTTTTTAAATAGTCCAACAGTTTGTTTGGTGTGTGTTATYAAAACGATACGCTTTTAATTTTGCAGTGAACCGMCTTGAAACCAATCCGACCGGAACCATCCCAAATTTAATCCCTTCCTACTTGATACCCATCGAAACTTCGATGCGTCAACAGCTAGCTGGGGGACTGAAACTAGTCATGCATGTAAATTTGACAACTCTTCAGACTGAATGGTCCTCTGCCAATCTACTTCATGCTTCATGATTTCATTGCTAGAGTCCATTAGAATATTACTACTAGTAACTTTGACTGCAAAATCACCATCTGTAATATTAATCATTCACAACGTAGTAACTGTTCGTGACATTTTCGGTTCATCTGAGTTGAAGTACAATGCTAAATGTGAGGATATTCAAGGGTGGATGTCGTGGAAGAGAGTCGGTGGTGATGAAAATGGTAGGCACTTTTAATTGAGTAAAAAGGATGATAATTAACTATCAAATTATTTATTTAGATAAGTTTTGCGTTGGGCATGTTAATTTTTACATCTTCCGGTCGCTGTATGTTTGTCATTTTTTGTCGACGTCTTTGCGTTGGCTAACCCTTGAACAATAAAACCGTTGGAATTTTTTTCCGTACTGGATCGTGGTCTTCTTGGTTTTTGACAAGTTTTTTGCCTTTTTTGCATCATATCAGCGCAGCGCAAATGAGCAAAGGCTTCGAAAAGATTTTCATGCTTATTTTTCGTGGTAAGTTAAGCTTAACGGCTCTACGTAGCAATGGGTTAGTCATTTGGTTATCAACAAATGCTACCTGTGCTTTGCATTACTAAAACAAATACCTGTTTTGACAAAATTGCGATTAGACCAGAGTTTGTAGAGAGGAACTGATCCCCTCTACTAACTCTGATTACACATTACACATTACAACTCTGATTACACATTATCCGTTTAGTGCACAAACCGACTTTGTTCAAAGTTTTCCTATCTCTTTCTAAACAACTAATTTTGCGAATTTTGACTATCTTTTAGGTTTCACTTGCCAGTTCTTTCTATAACTTCGAATCCTTCATTAGCTTTCCGATAAGAATTTAGATTCACAACATAGTGAGATTACAAGGCACCTTGTTTGTTTCTATAGAAAATATCATCTGGATTTTCCATCTAATTTTGTAGGATGCTTGCACGCACTGAACTTTAAATACATGGATGTAAAAATGTTTCCCTAAAATCAGCTAGAAAAAAAGTGTATACCTCTGAGCGACGTCCTATCGCCCAGCTACAAATCTCCTGCCTTAATTTTATCTTTGAAAATCAATTAGGGGGCATAGCAGCATTTTTGTACTCTGCCCGCAGTTGAACATATCATTAGTAAGTCCGTCAAAATTATGTCTCAGCACAGGTAGCCCAAGCTCTACTCTGAAGGCAAAAAATTGAAAAAAGTCTTAACGAAATTATTTGAACTGACATACATGTTTTTCTTGCGTTTTATATACCTGGTGTGTATTTTTTTAGATTTTACCTTGTTATGGCCCCTAGTTAATATAAGTGACAAGGTAGGACACCAAATGAACTTTTTCGACGATGACCAAAACAATGATCAAAACGATGATCAAAACAAGTCGTTTTCGTACCAAATAAAAAGTCAGATGAAGATTTCGCTTCACTGGACTTTAGAGGGATAACAATCAAATAAATCTGTGTCTTTCTTTTGCCACTATCTAAGTCTACGAACGAGCAGTTCTCGTGTGGATTTCGAACTCAACTTCAACGACCGCCATTTTATCCGTGACACGKTCATGTGTACCCAACGCTCACGCTCAATGCCACATTTCAAACACTCGCGAGGAGACTCCGTTGGTGCACAAAACCAACGGCGGGTACACATGACTGTGTCACGGATAAAATGGCGGTCGTTGAAGTTGAGTTCGAAATCAACACGAGAACTGCTCGTTCGTAGACTTAGATAGTGGCAAAAGAAAGACACAGATTTATTTGATTGTTATCCCTCTAAAGTCCAGTGAAGCGAAATCTTCATCTGACTTTTTATTTGGTACGAAAACGACTTGTTTTGAGAAACGGTCATCGTCGAGAAAGTTCATTTGGTGTCCTACCTTGTCACTTATATTAACTAGGGGCCATAACAAGGTAAAATCTAAAAAAATACACACCAGGTATATAAAACGCAAGAAAAACATGTATGTCAGTTCAAATAATTTCGTTAAGACTTTTTTCAATTTTTTGCCTTCAGAGTAGAGCTTGGGCTACCTGTGGTCTCAGTCAATCACATCAATCATATTTCGATCCAGCTTGCCGTTTTGTATTTGTAAAAAATGCACTATTAAAAGGTAGATTGTTAGGTAGATTGTATAGTCTAGAGTTGGAAGAAAACTACTTTTAAGAAAAGAAAACTACTTTTAACAGATTTACGCGACCCAAATTTTTTTAAAGAAGGAAGGGCGGCACATTTGCTTGTGAGATTGTCAACCATGTGCCTTACCCAGGAAAAAAWTTACTTGTACAAGAACAGTTATTTAGTAGAACAGACCATGTCGGCTCGTCCTGGATGAGTAACATCTCGCTTCCCTTTTTTAACCCACCAATAATAATTCGTAAAATAGAATGTTTTTTAGAATTTTATTTTCAACTTAAAAGTTGTATTATATATGTCTTCTGTACTAAGGTGAAATAATTTCTTTAAGGCAAAACTTCAACTTGGCAATTATGGAATACGTAGTTTRTCGACGGAATGGYATCCGCGTGGAAAAGTAYTACCAAAACTTGCTCATTTGCCTGAAGAGTGCCCTGTAAACTCTTACAATGAATGGGATCCTTTAGAAGAGGTCATTGTCGGCCGTGTTGAAGGTAAAAAGACAACTTGCGTCCTCTCAAAGTGTCAAGGTTCCGGAAGTTTGGAATCCGGGATCCAGGCCTTTTATGATCCGCAATCCAGTTATGACAATGTAAAAAAATTTGAAAACTTAGCTATTTAGTTTTTGTCCGATAGGATCCACTGTGCCACACCTGTCAGTGGAGGTGAAGGCTAATACAAGCGAAAAACATTGGAAGTTCTTTGAAAAGATGGGCGGWAAGCCGTTTCCAAGTGAACACACAAAAATTGCAGCCTTGCAGATTGAAGAACTATGCAATATTTTGAAACACGAGGGAGTAATCGTTAGGAGGCCAGAGCCTATTGACTTCACACAGGTAAACATTGTGTGCATACRCGCATAAAGGCATATCAAAAATCCTTATTTAAATCTTCTTTGCGTCGTAAAACTGACTGAAGATTGTGTTAGGTTTACAAGACACCAGACTTTACCTCTAGTGGTGTRTACTCTGCGATGCCTAGGGACATTTTGTTAGTAGTTGGTGATGAAATCATCGAAAGTCCAATGGCTTGGCGAAGCAGGTTTTTCGAGTATAGAGCCTACCGACCTCTCATTAAAGAATACTTTAGACAAGGAGCAAAGTGGACGACTGCACCTAAACCACTTATGTCAGATGAACTCTACGACCTGGTAACGTCATTCAAATTAGCTAAAAATCAAATGAAAAATCAGCCTGCTAYCCCCCTTGAATCCCTATCCGTTTCTTCAACTAAGCAGAATATCGAGTCGCTTGTCCGTCAATCGGATAAGTGTCGCGCTCCGCTGAGAAATAGAAATAGTGATGGAKTAATGCGACAAGCCCCTCGCATAAGGGGAAAGTAAAGGGGGGGGGGGCTCCCAAAAAAATGGAGCAGCATTAGGGGGGCCTTGAAATGAAATGAATACCGAAAAGGGGGCATAATAAATGTACCTCCCCTTAACGTTACTTAATATTCCTTACGATTTTAGGAATATCCCATGAGAAGTGTTGAAGAACGACACCAACTAGCTCGTCAAGGACGATTTGTCACGACAGAGTTTGAACCGTGCTTTGATGCTGCTGACTTCATAAGAGCAGGAAAAGATATCTTTGTCCAAAGAAGCCAGGTATGAGATGAATAGATAAGCTTATTAAGAGCAAAAACCCACTTATTCCATTGGACAAAAAATAGATGTTATTTACGTCATATTTGTAGGTTACAAACTACATGGGTATCGAATGGATGAATCGACATCTTGGCGACAAATACAACCTTCATATTTTATCCTTCAAAGATCCCAACCCCATGCATATTGATGCAACATTCAACATTATTGGACCAGGGTTGGTCTTGTCAAATCCTGACCGCCCTTGTCATCAAATCGACATGTTTCACAAAGCTGGATGGAAAGTCATTTTCCCACCTTCTCCGCTGATTCCTGACGATCATCCACTATGGATGTCTTCAAAGTGGTTGTCAATGAATGTTTTGATGTTGGAYCAGAAAAGAGTCTTGTGCGACAAGAACGAAGTTACCACCATCAAGGTAACACACTCACGATGACTGGATTCATATGAACGAACATTAGCAGTCGGTTTGTGGTCTAGGGACATACTTTCAACTCCCTCTCACCCTTTCCCTATAGTGTAGCAGTGTCATAACATAAAAATGATTTTCGCTAATATTTAGACTTAAAATGTAAAAAACAAACTGCGCACGGTTTTGTGTGTTGTATGTGCTATTATCGACACACTCTTGACGTCATAAAATGTTTTAACATTTAAAAAAACTCAAGTGGACACACGAGCGCAGAAAAATATACAATCGAACAACAGGGCGTTGGATGTATTTAGTTTAGACCCTACATTTATAGTTAATTTCACTATTTTTACTTCAGATGTTTGAGAAGCTTGGTTTAATATGCATTCCAGTTGATATACGCTTTGCTAACTCCTTGGGTGGTGGCTTTCATTGTTGGACTACTGACATCCGTCGTAGAGGAACGCTGGAGTCTTACTTCTAAAGACTTTACCCGAGCTTTATATGTA